GAGAAAATAGTGCAACAATGAATGAATGGAAATCCAAAATATCTGTAAATGTTCATTAAAAATAATAAAATTTTTAAAAAGACACAATATTGAAGGATGCTATGGGCAATATGACCCAGGAAGCATCAAAAGAAGACGGAGGAAATACTCAGAGACAAAACTTTACCCCCCGTACTCTCTAACACATGTATATCACATACATACCAATGCAGAAATATTGGCTGTCAAAATCTACATATCTTCATGAATGTAGTGACTTTTGCCTGCCTAGGTATGTTCTTCTAGATTGTCTGTCTATGTATCCACTTTGAGAAGAACTCTTGTTGTGACTGGCAATGCAGGATTGTGCAAAGGTGCGATTGTCGCTTTAGAAGGCCCGTCTATTATTTTGTCAAGCCAGTTGTTTCAGGACGGCAGAGAATATGCTAATACTAGTGAATTCCACGATACTAGTGAATCCACACTTCATTTGCTGCATGAGGTGAATCCCTTGAGCCAAAGCAATTCTGTATGGTTTATGGTAGATAAGGCATTCGGCAAGTCCATGGGTAGTTTCTTGGTCAGAGCATTGCATGCAGGAAAGGCAATCCAGAGTAAATGTCTATACCATTAAGAACAAAAACCTTGCCCTTTACGTGATGGAAATAGTCTGACAGAATCATTCTGCCACTGTATTTTGCTGGTTTATTGCCCTAAGGAATAGTTTCATATAAAGGACTCAGTGGTGGCCTCTGCTGCTTGTGAACTGAGCACTCAGGGGTAGTTGCGGCTAAGTCGGTCCTGGTGAGTGGAAGTCCACGTTGCTGAGCCCAGGAATAACCCCCTTCCCTGTCACCATAGTCACTTTGTGCATGAGAACATTGGACAATGATGACGGGAGTGGCTGGCAAAAGAATGTGTTTCCCGCCCATTTGATCATTAAAAGGGTCTTCCTAGAGGCCATCTTTCTGTGATAATTCACATGAGACAGCATTATCTTCATGATTTTGCCCATTCTGAGAGGTCTATCCACACACCCCTGCCCTCTACCTCCTTGTGACCATTTTCCAAGTCCCCAATAATCACGCTTAACCAGTGGCCCATGACTCAGTGGACAATGGCACTTCTGGCCTTTTCTCCTTCCAAGCCAAGCGAACAGCTGAGCGCTTGGGAGCTCTGCCCATGGAGAGAATTTTCCTTTCCTGCTGTCCTTCAGGAAGGTCCTGAAAAGGGGCTACTGCATCACTGCTGGACATTGTGCAGAACCGTCTGTGATCCAGGCACAAGTTTTCTCTTCCTTTGTCAACTGTCCATGAAGAATCGCCTATGAGGCCCTAGATGCCAAGTAAGAGACAGAAGATAATGTGACAGGCACAGGACTATGCGCATTTGGGTCACTTTCTCAGGTAACTTAATCGTGCCTTCAGATCCTGCTCAATCACCGTCATGTATGCACCACATCCACGTAATGATCAGGTGCTGTTGTACGTGTCCAACCTTACGACTCTGTGGATCAAGTAACACCCAGTTCTTGATGGGCAACTTAGATTACATGGTGACTTGGTGGCCCATGGTCAGTCTTCTACTAAAGGCCAACAACAAACCAAAAGCCATTTCTCAAAGAGTATTTATCTGCAGAGAATGACAGAACTTTGATCTGAAATAAGGGCCTATACTGTGATTGGCCAACAGAACTTTGTTAAAGACTCCAAACGTTCCTGCATCTCTATCTGCAATGGATACCTCAAGCACTATTGACAATTTGTATGGCCCAAGTGGAAAAACATCTTGCATCACAGTACAGACTTGTTACAGACTCTTCTTTTGCCCTGGGACCCAGCTCTGAAGCCAGCCCTGTCCTGAGACAGTCTCATAGACTCCGACACATCTACTCTCATTGTCATAGTTACTGTATCAATCCGTCTCATCTGGAGTCTTCCTCTCCTGCGCTGTCCTTCTACCCTTCTAAGCATGATGTCTTTCTTCAAGGATCAATTCTTCCTGGTCATATGCTCAAAGTATATGAGATGGAGCTTCAAAATGCTAGCCTCTGAGGAAACTTGGTTTCACCCTCTCCAAGACAGGCCTATTTGTTTTCTTGGTGATCCATAGTACGTTCAAGACTCTTCTCCAACACGACAACTCTAAAACATCAATTCGTCTACTATCATCCATAGTCATTGTTCATCTCTCTGATGAATAGTAAGTAATTACAAAGACCAGAGCTTGGATCTCTGAGCCTGGACATGTATGCTCTGCTATCATACACCTTCGCCAAACAACAGACTATGAAGTGAGCAATAACACCAAGGAGGTACTTAATTCTTAGGCCAATCAACCATAAAGATCAATTGGGAAACATTTGCTCAAAAGACAAGAAGGGAAAGGATAAAAAGATGTATGAAAACGAGAACCATAGGAAGGAAGTAGGAAGTGTGCTGCATAATGTGTAGATTGTAAATAACGCCATAAAACAGAAGATGAATGAATGGTTGAACTTTCACTCAAATCACACGTGCGCGCACACACACACACACACACACACACACGTCCCCTCCCAGTCATGTACAAAGAATACTCACGAAATTTATTCATAACAGCCAAATACTAGAAGCAGTCTATCAACAAGAGGACGTATAAACAAATACTGATCTACCCATATGTTAAAAGAACAAAATTTTAACATGATTTCATCTCACAGACACAATGCAACTATAGAGGCAAGATACGAAATAGTGCATATTGTTCCATTCATAGGAAATCTTTGAAAGGAGCAAAATTAATCTAGGGGGGGAAATGAAAAATGTGGGTGCCCCCCCAAATATGTGGTTGTCTTTTGGAGCAGATTGGGAAGAGTAACAGGATTCTTGTATATCTTTCTGGGAATATAGACTATGCGTAAAAACTCAACAAATAATATGTGAAAAGTGTGCGTATCAGTGTATATAAATTTTACTGTGGAGCTGGGTTCCAGCTGATACATGTGGATGTTGTTATTGGTTGTCACTGATAGTGAAGAAACCTGGCAGACACCATCTTAACCAAGAGATCAAAGCTAAGATTATTTAATATTGGACCCCAAAGTGCATGTGCTTCCTCAGTGTCCTCCGGTGATGAAAGTTCCTGGGAAGCAAGTATATCATTTCTGTTATACTCCTGCCAAATACACGTAACCTGAATCTAAACAAAAGGAAAAATGGGGCAAATGTAGAGAGTCACATATAGGAAGTGGCAGAGAATAATATTAATTTTGCTGTGTGAAATATCTCAGTCACAGAAGGATAAATATTGCATAGGGCCACTGTTGTAAAACGGGACTGACATTGGAGTTGAGGGAAGACAGAGAAGTAGGGGAGGAATGACTGTATACTGCATTGAAACAGATGAGAGAGAGAACTGTTTAAAAGGGATATATGATTGGGTATTATTGTCATGACAGGAGTCCAGAGTGAAGGCTGCACAGTGGAGTGGACTTGGGGGGAAGGATTGTATAACAATGAAAGAGTTTTTTCTTTTACTTTTCAAGGAGAAGAATGAATTAGAGGGTGGGGTGGGGTGGGGTGGGCAGGGAGAAAAGTTCAACATGAACGAATGGAAACCCTAAGTCTTTGTAAACTTTGATTAAAATTTAAAAAATCAAGTTAAGGGAGCTACAGATGTTTCTTGTGCTTTTCTGTATTTAAAAAAAAAAATCATACCTAAACAAAATGTTTCTCTCAAAGACAACCATCTTTGGCTACTACGCAGGGAGTCAGTGCCCCCTGGTAACTCCAGCTTTGTATGACCTCTACGTCTGTACATGGTGCTCCCTACCCGTTTTCCAGACTCAGGTTGTGTATCTTCTTCATCAGGTGACACAATATCATATTCTTCTTCTGCAAGTGGGGCCAGCCAAGTCCGCGCATGCCCATCACCCACTGCCTTTGGTGCAGAGCTCAATGCCCCAGACTCCTCCAAGGTCCCAGGGCCCCTTTTAATCTCTATGGCCAGTGGAATGATATTTTTCCTCTGGGAAGGAGGGCCTCCTGTAACTTCTTTTTGCTTTGGTGAATATTGCTTCCCACACTTGCAGTGAACTTGTCTAATTGTGTGCACGACAAAGGAGAAAGCTTTGTAGAATCGATCCAGGGCCAGCTGGACTTTCGTTTTCTTGGCCCCGCCTTCTGAGTTTCCATATCGCTCCTCGTTGCTGAAGGAATTAAGTAGCAGGGCAATAAAGAGATTAAGTACCTGCAAGAGAGATGGGGGGGGGGGAAGAATGGGAAATTTGACAAAAGAAAAAGTACAGGAGACTTCCAGAGCAGCTTGTTCCCAAGACCCAAAACAGAGCCAAACATCAGCATTCTGTCCTGTCTCCCAGACACACAAAAGAAATAAAAGAGGGAAGATTGGGGAAGAAGCTGTGGTATATTCACACAACGGAATACTATGCAGCATTGAAAAATAAGGAACTCACGAAATATTACACAAAATAGATGATCCTGGAGGACATCATGTTGAGTGGAATTTATCTCAGTCACAAAAAGACAAATATGACATAATGTCACTGTTATAAAAGAGGACTGACATGATGAGATATTATTATTATGACCAGAGTCCAGAACGAAGGTAGCACGGTGGGGTAGACTTGGGGTGAGGGATTGAATAACAGTGAAAGAATTTTTTTTCTTTTCTTTTTCAAAGAGAAAAGCGAACTTGGGGGGGAGGGGTTGGGCAGGGAGAAAAGTGCAACCATGAATGGAAAAATTCAAAGTCTCTGTAAACTTTCATGAAAATCAATTTAAAATAAAAAAAAATTTTTTTTAAACTGTGAAATGTTTCCACAGAAATGTAATATTTTTAATAAAAATATCCTTATAACAACAACAACCACCACCACAAAGCCCCTCCTTTTTTGTAAGCTCATTAAGGAAATAATAATTACAACCCAATGACTCACTCTCACTGTTGTGGATTCATTCAGAACTGACTCATCGCTGACCGGCCAGCGGGTTTTCAGAATCTGCAAGCCACGCAGGAGGAGACTGCTCATCTCTCTCCCATGGAGTTGCTAGTGGATTTTTAATTTTTATTTTTTTATTTTGAGTTTTGGTTGTAAGTAAGTCTCTGTATTCCATTTCCACTTTTTATTAGTAAGAGAAAGATTAAGTTAGAAAATATTTACATGGCAGGCCCCTTGACCAAGGCAACAACAGATTTTTTTTTTAATGGCAAACATCGTTTAATAATTGGAACAATGAAAGTACATAGCTTGAATGTTGAAAACTAGAAATTGTAAAAAATTAAATGGAACACATGAACATCAACATACGAGGCATTAGTGAGATGGGATGGACCAGCTTTGGCCACTTTGAATTAGAAAATCCTATATTAGGAGTGACATCCACTTTCTTTTTTATGTTTTTTTTTAATTAAATTTTCTTTATTTTCATGAACATTTACAGAGATTTTGGGGTTTCCATTCATTCATTGTTGCACTATTTTCTCTACCCTCCTCCCCAGTTCGTTCCTCTTTTTTTCCCCCCTTGGAAGTCTGTTTTAATTGTCCCATTGCCACAGTGCTTGTCAAAGCCAGTTCTGATTAATCTCCTTTGTCAGTGTGTCCTTTGCCATTCGCTATCACTCCTCCCTGAGAGAGACTTCACCCTGATTCATAAGGAAAAGGGGATCTTTTTTATTATTATTAATTTTAATGAAAATTTACAGAGACTTTGGATTTCCATTCATTCATTGTTGTACTTTTCTCCCTGCCCACCTCTTCCCTCCCAGTTCAGTCTTCTCTTGGAAAAGTAAAAGAAAAATTCTTTCCTTGTTTGACAACAGATTTTTACAGAAAGAATCTTGACTGGCATCAGGGCCATTATCTCACACCAATTTTGAAAGAATTCTTTCTGGCAGCTAGCAAAACTCAGCAGGAAAAAAAAATGAGCTCTTCACATGGTACATATTTCCTCTTCCAGCCAGTGAATAAACCAACACACAATGAGGACGCTTTCGCCACCCTCAAGGTGGAAGAAATGAAGCATGGATAAACATTCACGGCATCGCTCTCCCTGCAGCCTCCACAGAGGCTCTGCCATGAACAGTCTCTTAAGGGACGTCTGGCCTCATGAGATCATTACTAGTGGATTCGAACCACCAGAAAGGTGCAGCCTTTGAATCAGCAGCTCACCTTTCTACCGACTACGCCACTAATTCCAGTTTACAAGTCACTGTATCTATACAGAGAAAACTATTCTGATTTGCTTTCTGAATCTTCTAAAGTGTCCTGCTGGTTTAGGGGCAAGGAATGGTGCAGCCAACCCAAAGGAACACGGTTCAAAGGCATCAGCTGCTCTGCAGGAGAAAGGTGAGTAATCCCCTCTCATGCGATTTCCTGTTTCTGGAAACCAGCCAGACACTCAACGACGACTCCACTGTATACAACAATAACAACAACGTCCTCTGGTTAAAGTTGTCAGTTTTATCCAATCACAATGACACTTCGAATCACATGGTTTTCTCTAAACAGACAACATCATGGTGATTAATATTTGTGAACCTCTTCTGGGAAGAGATCCATGTGGGGTGTGATGTCAGGTCTTATCACTCTGAGTGACACAGCCTTGGTGACACCATAGCTTTGTTTGCTGCTCTCATCAGCTTCAAAGCAGTCAGCCTTCAGAGAGAAGTGTCTTGTGGGAATGAAGGGTTATAATCTCTGTTTCTCAGCAGCACCACACGTGCTCCCATCTCTGACTCTTTGCTTATCCTTTCCTCCCAGTCTCCTGTTTGTCTAAATCCTTCTTTTCTCTAATGGCCTCACAAGTACCATATGTTCTGGTGGGCTCTGGTGGCCTAGTGGCAAAAAGCTGCACTGCAATCCCAGAAGTGGACAGTTCAAATCCACCAGATGCTCTCAGAAGGAGGGGCAATCTCCTCCTGGCCCAGTCAGACCTGATTTGACGGTACACACAAAAATTAATAAAAATAATTTTTTTAAAAAAAACCAACAAAACAAGTACCATATTTTTTTTAAAAAATCCTGTATAAATGGTTGCTTGAACCCACCAGCCACTCCATAAGAGAAAGATGGGTGATCCCCTCCCGTGCAGTTTATAGTATTGGAAACTCATTGAAGGATCAGCTACGAGTTGGTTCTGACTCGACAGGAATGAGTATTTTACAGTAATCATTTTCCACTTTTGATATGTTACATTAAAAGGCAATGCGTTCACTCCCCTTTTAATCTAAAAAACTCACCACAAGTTTTCCAATCACCATGATCAGTAGAAAGACAATGACACACAGGTATTTCTTGTCAGAGGACTGCATGCACTCCCACATGTTTTCGATCCATTCTCCGCAGAGGATCCGGAAGACCACCAGGAAGGAGTGGTGGAAATCCTCCATGTGCCAGCGTCGGGGCAGGGTACACGGCTCTGCGTCACACGGGTCTTTAGTCTTGGTAGAATTGAAGTGGGAGCCGAAAAGCTGCATGCCGACGACTGAGAAAATGAAGACAACAATGGCCAGGACCACTGTCAGGTTCCCGAGGGCGCCAACAGAGTGGCCAATGATCTTAATCAGTGTGTTTAACGTTGGCCAGGACTTCGCTAACTTGAAGACCCTTAGCTGTAAAAAAAAAAAAAAAAAGTAATAGAAATAAGTTACGAGCAAATCCCATCTACCAAGTTATAAACCAAGTTTTAAAACCAATCATTTATGACTTTCGAAAATATTTTCAAGGTTTCATCTATCCTGAATGTTGTAACCAATTCACTGTCCCAGTCTAATTCACATCTAATTCTTCTTTTTTTTTTTAAAAAAAGGATCTATTTTGTTCTAACTTGTTTAAACCAATGGAAATTTTGGAATCATGGCAGAACATTGAACATACCTATTTATTACATGAACTGAAGACTGTGGAATCCTGTAAAAGATACTAGGAGACTAATTCATGAGTCAAATCTGATCTCTCTCAGTTTTCATATGGTTCAGAATCTAAGAATGTATTTCAAATGCTTTAACAATTGTGGGGGGTGGGGGGGAATCAAAAGAAGAACAATATTTTGTGACATATTAAAATGAAATGAAATAAAAATTTCAGGGTTTATAAATAAAGTTTTTGCTTTGTTGTGATCTTGTTTTTGTTGTTTATAATAATCAACAAATGGTGGACGGTATTGGGTGGAGCTCCCTAGCTGAAACAAGCTTGGAAGCAGGAGTGGCATCCACTTCCATAATAGCTTGCTTCCAGAAGCCCTATGAACCTGGAGAAAGGATGGAAGTCACGTAAGTGTCAAGGACTTTCATTCATAGGGTCGCTATGAGTCGCCTATGACTCGACGGCACTTAACAACAACAACAACATAATGATCATGTTGTTATGTGCAACATTAATTGAACACGAGATCTATGGCCATTTTTCAGTCTGCTTGCTGGGTAGAGCAAGCAGTTTGTACTTGACCACCAACTTCACAGCTGGCAGTTTGAACCCACAAAGGAACTCTGGTGCTGAAGCATGTAGCATGTTGCACTGTTAACCAAAAGATCAGTGTCTTGAATCCATGAAAGAAAGGCAGGCAGTCTCTTCCTATTAACACTTAGAGCCTCAGGAAGCTGGTGGAACTATATGAAATACCACTGTGGGTTGGAATTGACTTGACGCAGAGGTTGATGGGAGGACATCACAGAAGAAAGGCAGTTGGCTCACATAATGAGTGTTGTTGTGTTGTGTGCTGCGAAGTCAAAACCAACTCACAGAAGATCTTGCAGCTGGTTTTCAGAGGCATTGTAATCACAAAGGAGGAGACTGCTCATCATTCTCCTGCGGAGAGGCTGGTGGATTTGAACCACGTGCCTTCAGGTTGGCAATGCAGCTCATCACCACTGGGAGTCCTAATCCTCAGTTGCCATGGAGTTGTCATGAATTGGAATCTACTCATTGTCATCAGGCTTGGTTTTCTTTGATACGACTCAATCATGACAGTGATGTTGTTGAGTGGTTGCAACAGCGACTCTGCGGCCTACAGAGCTGGGAATATTTATCTGATCCTTCACAGAAAACGTTTATCCATCCCTCCATTATAGAACCCAGACCACAAGGTTGACTCTAAACTTGATAACAATGGTAAAATTAATATGATATTTTGCAGTGGGGTTGGGGACGAGAGGCAACCAGCAACCCAGAGCAAGAACAGTTTTCCCAGACAGACTGCATGCTCATTGCCGTCGGGTAAGAACTGACTCATGGATGACCTTCCAGAGGATTGTCAGAGCTTGTATAGCACATGCGAAGAGATTGCCCATCTTTCTCCCATGGAGCTGCTTGTGAATTCAAACCACAAGCCTTTGTGTTGCCATGGAAACTCCTATCCACTAGGCCACCGGAGCTCCCCCTCCCTGATACAAGAGATGATATCCTTAGAGAAAATACAGCAATCTGTTTCCTAAGCTATTATCTATATTAACTTTTAATTTACAAAGAAATGGATAGTTTTACTTAAAAGCATAGTCCTACACGTTTTAGACATTTGAGGGGAAAAAATATTGTAGGTCAAAACAAGAGAAGAAGAGAAGAAGGGCCATTGTTTACTCAGAGGGACGTGAGTGTTGGCCAGGGAAGATTGTGGTTCTGGTCTCACTTACAGCCAAGAGTTTTGACCTTAGAGAATGGCTGTGATGAGTCCAATGATTGTAAAGAAAATGTAATTCAGCTCAATGAAGCATCAATAAAGCCTTAATTACAAGGCAAAAAAGAAGCACAAACAATTGCTTATGTGTTATAAGGTAGAACCAGGCATGCTGAGATTGCCAATGCTTGATTTTTAACTTTCTAATTTTTTTTTAAGAAATAGAATACCACACCTTTTTTCAGAGATGTCTCTGGTCAGGTTTGAAGACTGACTCTTTGGTTACTAGTCTAGGGCTTAACCATGTGCATAGCTCTAAAATAACCTTACTAAAGCAGCCTAAAATGACCTCCCACAATCCCTCAGGTATAGAATCTAAACTTAAGCCACTGAGTCAAATGTCCTGATTTTAGGAATATTGTCCCAGCCATGAAGATGATTCAGGAAAGGACAGAATTGAGATCTGTTGTTCATAGGGTCTCAATGAGTCATAGTCAACTCAGTGACATCTAACAATAACAACATCTATATACCCTTCTCTCCCAAGAGAGTAAATACTGTTTATAAAATACAAAGACTGTAAAACAATGGATGATTTTTTTTTAATAGAAAAGCTAACTGTGAGGGCTGGGGGAGGGAGGAAAATGTACAACAATGAATAAATGGAAACTCAAGTTTTTCATAATCTTTCATTTAAATCACAATAAAAAATGTTTTTTTTAAAAAAGGATAAAGACTATCTTGGAGCATTCCTAGTTCTCCTTTCACGTGTCATTCTTCAGTAACTTTCTAGCCATATGTATAGAGGGGTCTGCCACACTCTAGTGGGCACTATAGTCATGGACAATGGGCCCTGAACTATCACCTTCTGGACTGAAAACTCCTCACAAACGCTGTTCCCCTCATCTATGCACCTTCTGCCACATCGGCTTGTGTCTGAGACTCCATAAAGACGGCAGAAAGTCTCCAAATAGGGGGAAAGGAAGGAATGACGAGATAATGTGATGGGAGAAGACAGCATCTGCTGGCAGCACCGGCCCATTCCTGGGTCTGCTCACCAGCCTTGGGGAGCTGAGACGTGAGGTCACATGAGTCAGAGCTCGGTGTGGAGAGAGTGTTGGTGGGGTCATCCTCAACACAAAAATCAAAGAGCAGCATCTTGACACTGAGGGACACATGCTTTTGGCTCCAGTTGCCTAAAGGGTCTTTCCGTGACTACAGGGAGTAACTTTACGTTAAGAGTATTAGGACTGCAGAGCTCTTTCCTCCCTCTCCCAGAATGGCAACTGAGAGAATCCAGTCGCAGGAAACAGCAGCCCATGCTTCTCTTTGTGAAATTACCCTACCCCCCTTTTCCCAGGAATAGTTATGTGAGACCCCAGCCCAGTGCCCTATCTTGAAGGAAGCATCTGTAAGTATCCCTTTCTCCAAGTCCCTTGTAAGAAAGTATAAAATCCCCTTTTAACTCTTTTTTTTAAAATTTTTTTAAATTTTTATTTTATTATTTTTTGTGTGTGTACTGTCAAATCAGATCTGACTGGTACAGGAGGAGATTGTCCCTCCTTCCCTGGCAGAGCATCTGGTGGATTTGAACCGTGCGCCTCTGGGATTGTAGTTGCAGCTCCTTGCCACTCGACCACCAGAGCTCCCCTCCCTTTTAACTCTTAGTTGGGGATGGCCTTCTGCTGGAGAGCCAGCCCGGCAGTTTCTCCTCAATAAACTATCTCTCTTGGCCTGAACTGGGTTCTGTCCTTCCTCGGCAACCTTACAAAGAGAAGATTCGTTGGAGCTCCTCATGGCTACTGAACACCTGGGTGGGAGCAGGGAGGTGGTTCTGGCTCTCAGAATTCACGTAAGATGGGGTAAAACTTAGTACAAAGCCGAGCATGCCACTCACACAAAACTCTTCCATTTGAGTAACTGAACTTCACAGCCAGATAAGAGAACAGGTTGCTCACCACTCTGGAAGCCCGGAAGTAGGGCCAGCATGACTTGCCTCCACAGGCCTCGTTCGCCAGCACATCGGCAAAGCTCAGAAGAGCCACGACGCAGTCAAAGATGTTCCAGCCTCGGCGGAAATAGTGGTAGGGATCGAGCGCAATGATTTTTAAGCACATTTCTGCTATAAAAATGCCACTGAAAACCTGTGGGGAGACAAAGAAGAGTGAGAGAAGGACGGACGCTCCTCGCCTTTGGAGACCTGACGGTCTGAGGGACGTGCAAAAGTTACAAAGAAATAGAACATATTTCACGTGTATATTCACCATACATACTCACACATGTAAAAACCTGTTTGCATTCACAGTCATTCGAGATACTTGTATATGTGTATACTTTGGACTTGTTGCTAAGAGAGACTATTCCTAGGAAAAGAATATCATGCTTCGACAGGTGGAGGGTCAATAAAAGAGAGGAAGACCCCAAGTGAGAAACAGTGACACATGATTGCGGCAACAGACTCGAGTGTATCAGAGGTGGCGAAGACGGTACAGGATAGAATAGGATTCAGATCTGCTGTTCACGGGGTCGCTATGAGTTATACTTGACCTGACAGCACCTAACAATAATGTTTACAATACTCAATCCTCAAAAGATTAATTGAATTTTGAAAATTTGCTATCACAGACCTCTCCAGAGTGCTGAAGAGCAACAATGTCATTCTACATATAAAGGCGTGCCTGATCCAGGCCATGGTCTTCTCAATTATGTGTTGTGCATCAGAAAGCTGGACAATGACTAAGGATGACAGAAGAAGAATCGATGCCTTCGAGTTGTGGTGCTGAAGAGTCTTGAACACAGCATGGACTGCCAAGAAAACAAATAGGCCTGTCTTGGAGAAGGTGAAACCAAGTCTCTCCTTGGAGGCTAGGATTTTGAAGCTCCGCCTCACTTACTTTGGGCACATGGCCAGGAGGGATCAGTCCTTGGAGAAGGACATCATGCTTGGAAGGGTGGACGGACAGCGTAGGAGAAGAAGACCCCGGACTGGCTCGGGACAGGAAAGGGTTTAGAACTTCTGTACATAGGGTCACTATACACTGCAGGCAACTCAACGGCACATAACAACAATAACACACTATGACAGGTTTGGAAGCAAGTGTGACATCCACTTCCTAAACAACATGCCTCCAGAAACTCTATGAACTTTGATAGATGTCGATAGTTGTAGAGGGGCTTCAGGCCTTTGGTTCATAGGGTCGCTATGAGTTGTGGTCTACTTGAAAGCAATCAACAACAACAGCAACAGGTATTCACAATAATTCAAGATAATGATTTTGAAATTCCACGCGTTAGAAATGTTGATTTCTACGGCACAGAACCCTCTATACTTGACTCCTCTCCTTGTCTCTCATTTCCACGATGCCCATGCCAGTGTTACAAAGCTCTCAAATATCAAGATGGAAGATGAATAACATTTCCTTTGTTGCTGAAAATAAGGCCCAACTAAACTTCTTGGAAGGTGGCAGGGTTGAGAAAGTGCCAGGCAATTCTTGCTCTGAATTCTCTTTGAAAAACTAATGAAAAGCCTAAAATGACAGTGGGGAGAATGCATGACGTCCCTGGAAACTTAAGAGCACTATTTTGTACAAACCTGAACCCAGGAGTTTACACAATGACTACACACTCCAGAAGAGGAGTTGTTCTTTCCACCTCAGCAGTGTGCTCAGACAATAGACAGTAACTGAACAAATAAGGGACTCAGAGCAGAAAATTCTAAAATCCTGCCAGGAACAGAAAAAGCCTTTGAGCAATGCAATATATGGAATAAATCCTACACTGATTTTGTGCGAAAGGAGGATTAAGTGAGTTGTAAAAGAAATCTTAGCATTCCCTCAGAATGCAGGGTTCATTATTCCAGTAAAATACCCAACAAAACAGTTAAGAAAGCTTAAGAAGAGAGGCGAGAGTTAGCAAGCGCGTTAAATTGGGTTTTCCATGGGCAAAATGACAAAGTCATTATTTCACCTTTGTCATTAACAGTTAGGCAAATACAAGGCTAAGAAGTTGGCAAAACATTGGAAAGGCAGTAAACCAAGTTAAAAAATAAGTGATTTCTGTGGTCTTTCAACCACACATTTGCAGAAAATAAAACAAAGGATTTCATGAAAGCAAATGTTGTTTCCTGTGCCACACACACATAGCAGCATAACAGGCACATTGTTTTATGATATATGTTAAGTAGAGTCTAACCCCAGTATCACTGGAGAACTGGGGAGTCATTACTGTGGGCCTTTGCATATGACTCATGAATTCTTAAGTTTCTCAAATTAAAAACCAAACAAACAAGCCTTTTAAGATGCTTGCTTGATTCCACTTATGATTAAAAAGACTCCTTAACCTAGTTGATGGAAGCAGGAGCGGCATCCACTTCCTAAACAACATGCCTCTGGAAACTCTATGAACGTAGTGAAAACGACGATAGTTCTAGAACAGGGTTCAGATCTTTTGCCCACAGTGTCACTATGAGTCGTGCTCGACTCGACAACACTTAACAACAACAACCTACTTGAAGGGAGCTTTGGTGACTTAAAGATAAGGAGTTGTGCTGCCAATCCAAAGGTACCCAATTATACCAGCTTCTCTACGAAAGAAAGATGGGCAATCTATGCCCTTGTGATTTACTGACTCTAAAAACCTGCCAAAGGATTAGCCATGAGTCAGTTTCGAATTGGTGGTATGTTAAAAAAACAAAACAAAACAGCCCACAAACTAATACAACCTATGAGGGGGCCAACCCAATATCTACATGACTCATCATTGTGGAAAATTACTAAACAATGAAAATTAACCAAGTAACAGTGAAATCTTAACAGGTCACCTTCTCCCTCTGCTCTACTGAAGGGATCCAAAGACCTAGGTTAGGTTAGGCCGTTCACAATGTTTCCTTTTTCAAAGACTTGAGATCTTGAAATAGTGTACATATTTTTCAGTCTCTAAAGTTACCTGATTGCCTATAAGCAACACATTCTTGAAGTCTTTGTTCATGTTGTGATGCTCCATGGCCAAGAAGATGGTGTTGACTATGATGCAGATTGTGATGGCCAGCTCGGTAAAAGGATCAGTCATCACAGCTCTCAGCGCTGTCTTGATGCGTATCCACAGAGGACAGCAGTCCCAGATGAGGTATTTGGAGGCGAGGCTTTCCCCACACGGAAGGCAAGGTTCCTGTGCTTTTTCATGTTCTGGAGAAGGAGGATGAAAAGTATTTGAGAATTACATCTGAGTCCGTCGGCCTGCTGTTTCCTCTAATACATTCCTTTCTCCCACTCTATCCTGTGTTGACCCAACACGATTGGTTAAGGAGAGAACGAACTGACTTGTACACCAGAATGATTTTTTTTCACCCATCGTTTTTCAGGAGACGAATTCCCCTGTAACATTACCATGTGCTATAGTCAAAAATCATGGCCTTCTGTTTGCATGAAGCTGGTTTGCACTGGTAAGGACCCAAACAGGGAAGTCAATGTTGACATGCTATGAACCCAGAAGAGTGATGGCTATGACCTCAAGTAATGATCAATCAAGAAAGACAATGGTAAAAGGCGAAAGATTTATTCGATCTGAAGAGAAACAAGAGTATGCTCTGGTGGCCTAGTGGTAGGAAACTGCACTGCAATCCCAGAGGTGTGCAGTTCAAATCCACCAGATGCTCTGCTGAAGAAGGAGGAACAATTGCCTCCTGTACCAGTCAGATCCAATTTTATGGTACACACTTAAAAAGAATAAATAAATAAATACATACATACATAAATAAATAAATAATTAGCTTAAAAAAAAAAAAAAAAGAAAGACAATGGTGTTGGCTTCCTACTGAGCTCAGAGGAGAAAAAGATACTTGGGAGGAAGATATATTTGTACTGAAATAAAATGAGGCATTCTCTCAGCTGGTTGAATTCAAGCTGTGAAGCACCTTTTCAGGTATGCATGCAGCCCGTTATGTGATTCAGCTAGCTTTTTAAAATGTTAAGGACCACTGAGTCTGTTTTTACAAGAAGTAGAGTCTTACTCCTCAAAAACCAAACACTTAGTTGGGCCCCTATTACCTGGTGTTATTTGGGTCAATCAGACAGTTCCAATCTGCCTAAGTTTCCTATTTATCTTTAGCAGATTCTGAATTATAATTTTGATGACAAAAGCCACTTTGCAGGAACTTCTGAATTAGTCTCTTCTTGAAATAGTTGTCTTTCTCACCGAAATGTCCTGTGAAATCTTGGTTAGATCATGAGAGTTTATGTTCATGGTCCCAATCATATAATATCTTCTAGTCAATTCGTCCCACTACTCAAGTGATGAGAGCCCATAGGGAAAAGCCATTTCTTTCAAGCCTCTTTGTTTAAAAGGTCTAAGGAGGCACAAGAAGTCACTGTGCAGAAGGAACAATGGAATTGATCCAAGCACAGTCCCATGCAGAGAGATGATAGGATATTGGGGAGAGGATGGGAGAATGTGGACGTTCTGCTTTCCCTCGCTCTTGGGGGTGAACTTACCCTGCATTGTGATGGTGAGGATGCTTACAGCACTCAGGGCCCTCTGCCTCTGGAAGGGGTCTCCTTGCTCATCCGAGTGGTCCAATGACAGATTCTGGGACAGTCGTTTCGTTTGCTCGAGGAGGTGTGGCTGTAAGAGAAAGCCTGGTGCACTTTCCAGGAGGAAGAGCTGACCCTCCCCAAAGCTGAAGCAATCCACTTCATTTTAATAGCATACACAACAAGAACACAATACCTTATACATACCTGTCACCTTACGTCTTCTCCACAGAAACCCAATCTTCTGTTTTCTAATTTTATATTCAGCAGATTAGAGAAATCTGGTTTGACTATTCACATTTCTCATATAGTCACATTTCTAGAATTCCAAGTGGTGCAGATAGTTTATGCTGAGCCCACCTAGCGGCACCTTTTGGAAGCAGGAGTGGCATCCACTTCCTAAACAACATGCCTTTGGAAACTCTATGAACTTTGAGAAATGATGATAGTTATAGAAAGGCTTCAGGTCTTTTATTCATAGGGTTGTTGTGAGTTGTGCTCTACTCAACAGCAATCAACGACAACAACAACAACAGAGACACCTCATAAGAAAGTGCCGAACGTGGGGACAGGAGTGGGGGGAGGGGTTGTATAACAATGAGAGAATTTTTCTTTTACTTTTCAAAGAGAAGAGTGAATTCGGGGAGGGGCAGGAAGAAAAATGCAACAATGAATCAATGGAAATCCAAAGTCTCTGTAAATTCATTAAAATTAATAATAATAATAAAAGAAAGTGCCAGTGTTCTTCTTCCATAAAGACAAGTGTATGTGGAATGGTTCTACTCTGTAACGTATAGTGATTTCATGAATCAAAGCAACTCAATACCAACAGGTGGGCTTTGTTCCTTCTCGTAGAAATCTTACTCCCCGTGATTATTATCCAGGAGCCCTGGTGGCTCCATATGTTAACTATTGTGCTACTAAGGTTTACCCAAACCTTGCTCATTTGGACCCATCTGCTGCAACATTCTGCTGCCCTAAAAATGTACAGCCTTGGAAACCCAAAAACGCCCTTTTGCTCTGTTCTAATGGATTTGCTATGCGTTGGAACTGACCCAATGACACTGGCTTTTTGGCTTGGTGCATCATCCATTGTCAACAAAGAGCAAATGAAATTCTACAAAAGCTAATGAGCTATGGGTTCAGATACTTTTTTTTTAAACTTTATTTTTATTATTGTGTGTGTGTGTGTACCGTTAAACCTGGTGGCTCCTTGGAGGCAAGGATTCTGAGGCTCCGTCTAACATACTTTGGACATGTTGAGAGGAGAGGTCGGTCCTTGAAGAAGGACATCATGCTTGGGAGGGTGGAGGGACAGCGCAGGAGAGGAAGGCCCTCTATGAGGTGGATTGATTCAGTGACTGGGATAATTGGGATGGGAGTGTCAGAGACAGTGCAATTGGCACAGGACAGAGCAGAGTTTAGGGCTGTTGTACATAGGGTCGCTATGAGTCGCAAGCGACTCGACAGCACATAACAACAACCACCAAATTAGATCTGACTGGTACAGGAGGAGGTTGTCCCTCCTTCTCTAGCAAGGGTTCAGATCTTTTGTTCTCAGGGTCGTTATGAGACTGGCTCGAGGGGACAGCACCTGAAGACAGCAGTTACAATGAGCTGTGGCTCAAGTCTTGAATGCAGTAAGTGGGAATAAGTAAAGTTTGGAAACAATGCTTGTGAGGAGAGGATAGACTGAGAAAGATGGATTGAAGAAAGATGACACAGTGTCTTCATGTCTACCTAAGGAGATTTTAAAGCAGTAACTAAAAAGAACAATTAAAGGTAATACCACTGCCCATCAACAAATGAATGGCTAGAGAAGCTGTGGTATATTCACACAATGGAATACTATGCTGCACTGAAAAAACAAGGAACTCATGCAATATTATTCAAAATGGGTGACCCTGGAGGACATTATGCTGACTGAAATATCTCAGTCACAAAAGGACTTATACTGCATAGTGCCACTGTTGTAAAATGGGACTGACATTGGGGTTGGGGGGAGACTGAGAAAGATGGAATAAATATGTCTACTGCATTGAAACAGATGAGGGAGAGAATTGTTTAAAAGGTATATATGATTAGGTATTATTGTCATGACAGGAGTCCAGTATGAAGGCTGCATAGTGGAGTGGACTTGGGGGGAGGGATTGTATAACAATGAAAGAATTTTTATTTTACTTTTCAAAGAGAAGAATGAACTGGTGGAAATCCAAAGTCTCTGTAAATTTTCATTATAATTTTAATGAAATTAATAATAATAAAAAAAAGAAATACCACAAAATCTATACACTTAACCTCAAGCACTTTCTTAGGGTCTTCCCAAGATGGTACTGATTCTTATGTTACCTACAATTATAATGCTCTGGAAATTAAAGAATATTAAAACTCCAGCTTTCTAGAAAACTCAGGTGTTCATAAGTCTTTCTCAAAGTTTCTAACCACCCAGGGCCCTAGAGGGAATTACCTATGTGTGATCAACTAATCTAAAAGCAAACATTTCACAGCTCTTCCTTGTTCCCCTGAAGTTCTCCTGCGAACTCTTTACCACTGAGCCACCAGGGGCCTGGGAAGGGATTGCCCATCATTCTTCTTGCCGTGCAGCTGGTGGATTCAAACTCTACTCATTAGGGAATTCTGGTGGCCTAGTGGGAAAGGAGTCACGCTGCCAACCTAAAGGCGGGTGATTCAAATCCACCAGTCCCTCTATGGGAGGAAGATGGGCGATCTCTTCTCGTGTGATTTACAGCCTGTGAAAACTTGCTGGAGGGTCAGCTCTGCGTTCCTTCTGATGCCGTGGCAATGACTCTGAGCCAGCATTAATGGTAACACACTCTTAACACCCTTGACGCTAAGCAGAAGTATTGGTGGCTCACGTCCACTCAGACTCACCTCAGAAGAAAGGCTTGGCGATCTACTTTCAAAGAGTTGACCCTGGAAAGTAATTCTGAGCACAATTCTGCTCTCACACCCATGGGGTTACCATGAGTTAGAATCAATGTCATGGAAGCTGCTTCGTTTCTGTCTATCCAGCTGCCCACTCAGTATTCCTGCTTGGATTCCCACAAGGACCCACAAGTGGCATGTTCCTAACTGAACTTCTTCACCCCCAAAACATGTTTCTTTCCTGTCACAGTGAATTATCCGTCACCAAGTTAAGGCCCCAAACCCTTGTTCTCGGATGTTGAGTCAATGCTGACACATGGTGACTCTGTCTGTGCAAAGTAGAAGTGTTCCCGCAGATTTTCAAAGTTGTGACCTTTCAGAAGCGAGGAGCTAGGCTTGTCATCTATCAATATCAGATGTTGTGGTTGTTATGTGCCGTCAAGTCGCTACGTACAGCAGCCCTAAACTCTGCTCTGTCCTGTGCCAATTGCACCATCTCTGACACACCCATCCCAATTACCCCAGTCACTGACTCAATCTACCTCATAGAGGGTCTTCCTCTCTTGTGTTGTCCTTCCAACCTCTCAAGCATGATGTCCCTCTCCACGGACCTGTCTCTCCTCACAGCATGTCCAAAGTATGTCAGACGAAGCCTCAGAATCCTTGCCTCCAAGGAGCAGCCCGGTCTAACCCTCTCCAGGATGAATCTGTTTGTTTTCTTAACAGTCCATGGTACACTCAATACTTTTCTCCAGCACCACAGCTCAAAGGCATCAATTCTCCTTCTATCCTCCCTAGTCATTGTCCAACTTTCTGACACATAGCAAGTGATCGCAAAGACCATGGCCTATATCAGACACACCTTAGTCTCCAGAGAGACACCATTGCTCTTCAGTACTTTGGAGAGGTCCCTAACAGCAGACTTTCCCATCACAATATGTCATTTAATTTCCTGGCTGCTGGTGCCAAGAGTGTTGACTGTGGCAGTAGAATATTTAACAATGCATGCCATTCAAGGACTCAAAATCATAAACCAGTAAGACCCTCACCTTCTACATGTAATAATTTTCCAGTCATTGGATCATATTCTCTATTAATTTCTCTTCATTTCTGAATAGGTTAATAGGATTATTCGTTCCTTTTTCTTCCTCTCTAATCCTAGTCTAAATCATCCCAACGTCTCATTTAGATCACTGCAACTATGTCTTCATTACTTCCATTCTTGCCCCTCTCCAGTCCTTTCTCTTCAATGCATCTAAGATGACTTTTCAAAAATGCAGATCTGATCATATTACTACTGTCTTGCTCAAGAACACTGCGGTGCTGCAGCCTCTCTGAACTCAGGGTGGAGACGATTCTTTAGCGTGCTCTGCAAGGCCTTTTGTAACTGCCCCCTCAGTTTCTGTAATGATGCCCACTCTAGATCTTTTTTGCTTCCAGCCCTTCCTACACACTGTTCTCTCCTCAAAGCTACATTACTCCTTTTACCGAGTTAATCCATCTCTTCAGCTTTAGCATTGCTTCTCTGGGAACTCTTTTTTTCTGAAACAGATATTACTGGTTACCCTGTCCATATTTCCTTGTCTTGCCTAAGTTCTTTTTCTGGTGACCTGAGTTCTCTAGACCCTGGGTGATCCTGACATTGATGTTTCTCCGCAGATAGAAATTGTTAACCAATGAAGTGTTGTTGTTTTGTGTACTGTCGTGTTAGAGCTGACTTATAGCTAACTCTGTAGTGAGTTTGCATAGGCAAAAAAAAATTGCACAGGAGGAGATTGCCCACCTTTCTCCTACGGAGCAGCTAGTGGGTCCGAACTGCCTATCTCTGAGTTAGCAGGACAACTCCTAACTCTTACCCCATTGTAATTAAACTCTAATCCCTTTCAGAGGTAACCGGATTGATATTGTTGTTGTTGTTATTGTCTACTCTTAAGTTGGAACCAATCCACAGCTGACCCTCCAGTGGGTTTTCAGAGACAGTTAATCACACGGGAGGAGATTGTCCATCCTTCTCCTATGGAGCAGCTGGTGGTCTCGAACCACTTGCTTTTTTAATTATAGAGCAGTTTCTTCCCACTAGGCCACCACAGCTCCTCAACTGGGTTGATACTGCACTTTGATTGTTGCTCTCCAGGATCACTGGCTAATTAACTACTTGAGCTCAAACGCTGTAGTGTCATCTTCTGAGGAAACCCACATTACCACACTCTCCCTGCTCTCTTCTCCCATAGAGCTCAATGTATCTGTCATCACACTGAATAATAACTGCCTACTCTGAGTGTGATTTTTCCTTCATTGTAAATTCTGTGAAGCAGGAAACTGTCATAGATCTCCAGGTGCCCCCACACCTATCCCAGACCAAGCATTAAGAGCAGTAAATACCAGTTGCCATTGAGTTGGCTGTGATTCATGGTAACCCCATATGTGTCAGAGTAGAAATGTGCTCCCTGGGGTTTTCAGTGAGGAGGATATTTTGGAAGTCAAGCTGCCAGTCTTTACCTCTGAAGGGGTTTGGGGTGAATTCAAACTGCCAATCTCCCTATGGTAGATGAGTGCTTAGCCATTTGGACCACCCAGTGATCCTTTGGTCAACATTCTCGAATAGATGTCTGCAAGCAAATGGGTTAAATAAATAGCTAATTGAGTAGAGAGGGGAGGATAAGGAGGTTTTGCTGATAGGCAACAGAGTCTCTGCTCAGATGATGAAAAAGTTGGAAATAGATGGTAGTGATTACACAGAGGACATACCAATGCCATTGAATTGTACATGGTAAATGTTTGGTTGGATAGAACTCACCACAATTTTTTTTAAAAAAATAGATGATGACGTCTAGGAGGTAGTATTTTTTTTTTGCATTTTGGTACCTAAAATTAATAGCTAAAATGCAATTTAAGCCATCATTTAAAGAACCATTTCTCTCTTAATATTAAGCCTGAGTCAGATGATATAATAAAAGTGAAATAAAAAAAATTCTCAAAATCTTAAAAAAAAAAGATGATTGATGTTGATTAATGAAAGTAAACAGGGAAATTAATAAATGCTTAAATCCCTGATCATATTTATTTGTTTAATTATCATGTCTCTCATTTGGACAGCTCTATGGTGTGATTAGCCCCATAGAGACTTACCTTCTTCTTCACCTCTTCATCAGAATCTGAGCCTGAAGCCTTGTCTTTTCTAGATTTTTTAACAAAGAAAGACTTCCTTTGCTTGTTACCAAATAATTTTCTCTTCTTTGGTGAAAAAGATGATGTTTCAAGGGAATTAAGTGAACTTCTGTCAATTCCCATGGCAACCAGAGCCTTAGAAAAATATACAAAACCAATTAATGAACAGATCAGACCTCCTCATAAGATATTGCTAATGACCCCTACCTTAGTATGCATGCTTTACTTTCTCCAGAGAGATGGTGCCTTTGAGATTGTGCACCACCTAACTCAGATACACTAGCTTTGTCATTATTTATCAGAGGAATGGGGACATGTCCTGTTCTCCAGAGTTTGTAGCCCCCAGAAGTAGTAGGAACTCTGTGTCACTCCCATTATGTACTAGACTTTTTGTAAATGTTCATCTCTGATGATGCAGGGATGTGAATTCACTACCACAAATCCCTGTGGGAAATAGGAAGGAGAATAAAAACAAGGTCCCTTCCCGGAATATCAGACACCTGAGTTGGGAACGCATAAAGATACCAGAGAAATTATTAGTATGAACTGTAAATATGACAGCAATTTCACAACGGGGGAAATTGCAGTAGGCTGTCATGTCCAGAACCACCATTAATGCTTTGTCCAATTTTCTTAAACCATGGTGCGGAACATAAACACTTCTGTATTTGCATAAGAGATAAGCTGAGCTTGTATTGATATATATAGTTTTATCTTCTACCCAGCAACTAGATGAGAAGCCCTAGGCTTCAGGAGAAAAGCATTAAGACCAAGTGTCCCCTACTCTCGAGTCCTGTGCCTAGATATCTCTGTGAGTCTTAGCAGTATGACTTGAAATTCTCAAAAAAGCACTCATCGAAATAAAACTGAGTTATGTCAAAAAAAAAACAAGCTCTCATCAAGAACCCCTGACATCCAGCCTCACATGGCAGTCTTGAGACCAGGCTCCCCTCACCTCTGGGGTCACCTCTTAGCCAACTCCACTGTCTGGTTCTATTTGTTCCTACCTCTTTCTCTTCCCTTAACAGCTGCTGGGCTTCTTGGAACATCTTCTCCTTGGCCTCTGTCTCAGCAGCTACGTTCCTGTTCTGCTCCTCATAAGCCATCGTGACAACAGCCAGGGTTAAGTTAATCAGGTAGAAAGAGCCCAGGAAGATGACCACGATGAAGAAGAAGACTGAGAAGAGTCCATTTGTGCGCAGGGTCTGCAAGAGACATAGTGCATGTTCACATCTGAAGTCCTCCTTCCGCCTCAGGTCGAGATTACATTGACCTCCTCCACCCCAGTGCTGGCTCCTGTTGTTGGGAAACCTTGAGAAGTCGTAGAAGGATGGCTTAGCTGATGACAGCACTATCTACAGCCTTTATGGGTACGCAGGATCTCTGTAGGGAGATACCCTCTGTGTGTTATGAGGAGCCAAATTTCATACTAAATATTTGTAACAAACCGAATGTTATTTCAGGATGTGTGGGAGGCGAGGTTCAAGTGGGAATTCACGCTGAGGCACTAAGGCAATCCTTAAGGGTTTACTGGATTCTTGCATTGTATTTGCTGACCTCCCACTCCTGAGTCAAGCAGAAGGTTTTCAATAGAAAGAGCTTAGCTTCATTTACATTGAATTCTCTTGGTGATTTGCTCCCTAGCCATTTTCAATAAAGAAACAGGGAAGCGTGAATCTGGGTCTTCAGTCTTGGAACTGCTGGTCCCCTGTCTTTTACGCTGTTTTATCTCATTCCTGGTTGTCTGTCTCATTATTAATAATTATAAAAATATTTTATCCTCAGTCTCCAACAGTATGTTCATATGACCGTCTTGTTGTTGCTATTCTTGTCGTGTATCATTTGGTTGGGACCAATCCATAGTTGACCCTCTAAAGAGTTTTCAGAGGCAATTTCATCACACAGGAAGAGATTGCTCATCTTTCTCCCGTGGAGCAGACAGTGAACTTGAACTGCATGCTTTGAGCACAGTTCCTTACCACTAGGCCACCAGAGACTTACTATTACTTTCTTAAGGGTGGTTGCTGTTGTTATTAGATGCCATTGAATCAAGCATGACCGATAGCAACCCTGTGAACCAATGATCTGAGTCTAGTCTTGTCCTGTGCCATCCCCACACTTCCTGACACACAAAAGCCCATTGCAGCAGTCACCGTGTCAATCCACCTGGTTGAGGGTCTTCCTCTTCTTCACCAACCCTCCCGCTTCCCAACATCATGTCCCTCTCCAAGGAATATCACCTCCTAGCAATTTGTCCAAAGTATGTGAGGCAAAGTCTCGTCATTCTTGCCTCCAAAGAGCACTCTGGCTGCAACCTCTCAAAGACAGATCTGTTTGTTCTCTTGGCCATCCGTGGGATGTTCACCCTGAAGGGTATTTGCATTTAAAAAGAAAGACAGCAATGTTTTATGGAAAGTAAAGCTATCATGTAACTTTCCACTGAAAGGAATCTGGAGAGAGGCAGTATTTCTAAGAGGAGGAGGGGTTTTTTGCTTATTTGTTTTTGTCATTTTGCTATTTCCTCCCAAATATCACATTTATCATTTTCTTTTAACTTCTCAAGAAGAACTCCTTTAGAGAAACTTTCAAAGCAAGATTCTGGAATACGGAGCCCCGAGAACACGGATGACGTGTAAGAGGCAGGTGTCTCTGTTGTCTAGTTCTATTGTAGCAGTGCCACAAGTGGGTGGCCTTAAGCAGAGATGGATTTCCTTTAGGAATTTTCATTTTAGGATGCCGGAAGTCTGAACTCAAGATGCTGGCTTGAGGAGATGGCTTTTTCTGTGTATCAGCTCCGGGGTGAGGTCCTTATCTCTCTTCAGTTTCTGTTCTCCTCTTCCTTGCCAATCTCTTTGTGGTACCTGCCTATCTTCCCTTTCTGTGCTCGCTTGCTTCTGTGCCCCCTTTATTAACATAACAAGGAGAACTCTATTACCAGGTGGAACCACTGGTTAGGATTTATAGCACAGATTGTTTGGGAGATACAATTCAGTACAGAAAACTAGATGATAAATAAATGATGGGGTGGGAAAAGAAGAGAAAGAGAGAGAGAAGAAAAAAGAAGGAGGAGGAGGAAGAGAAGGAGGAGGAAGAGGGAAGGAAGGAAGGAAGGAAGGAAGGGAGGGAGGGAGGGAGGGAGGGAGGAAGGAAGGAAGGAAGGAAGAGATAGATAAATAAATGACCTGTTGATAAAGCTTCTCCCAGGAATCTTGAGTCATCAGCCGGAACATGGCAAGAAAGGACCAGCCAAAGTTGTCAAAATTCGTATAGTTATAGTCAGGATTGTCTGGAGTGGACACACACTCATAATTTTCCGAACAGGCACTAGATGTTGAAAAGAAGAAAGAAGAGAAAGAATTGCTTTGCCTACAGTCCAGCTTCTCTTCTGTTTGTTCTTCTAAGGGCGCAGGACTCTCAGTTAAGAAAACCCTGGATGAAAGGAATGTTGTCCTTTCCTCCCACTTGCCCATTCACTGAGCCTCCCAGCCCAAATCATAAAGTGGACTTTCACTGACCCTTTTTCAAATAGATTAACAAAATTCCTATTAGCAAGGTTATAACTGAAAAACTAAGTGTGGTCACATAGTGAACAATGAGCTAGCAGTATTCAAAATTATTCAGTGGTTTAGTAGCCCACCACCCTACTGACCAGGCCATGAGTTTACGCCATCATTTGTACACCACAAACTCAACAGCTTTGAGCACTTTTATTTCCATATCTCTAAGCAGGGGACTCTGGTGGCCTAGTGATAAGAAGCTGCACTGCAATTTCAAAGGCATTCGGTTCAAATCCACTAGCTCTGGGGGAGAGTGAGGAGCAGTTTCCTTCCATGTGATTTACTGCCTCGTTTCCAATTCAGTTGCACACAACAGCAACAAATATGGTGCCTATGTGGGTATCTGCCTTATCAATTAGGTCTTTAGCTAGTTACTTCCTCCTCCTCCTCCAACTCCCTACTGCACTATTCATATCACTATGTTTTTGTTGTGTGCTGTTGAGCCAAAAGTGACCCTCAAGGGGGTTTCCAGAGGCAGTTAATCAAACTGGAGGAGACTGCCTGTCTTTCTCCCAAGGAGCAGCTGGTTGATTGGAACCGTGTGTGCCTTTTGGATGGTGGTGCAGCTTCTTCCCACGAGGCCACCACTACGCATACCCTTCTTCACAGAAAAATACGGTGGTCTGTGTTTCTTGGCCCTTTCCTGGTTTACTCTCTCCGTTTTTTAAAGCTGAAACTTCAAGCAGTGTCTTAAGAAGATTAGGGACTTTTTGGTAGCTGTTTTCTGCTTCTACGGTTGTGATTTAAATTTTGACCAGAAGTAGTCATTTCTTCGTAAATATGAAGACACAGCACAGTCATTATCTGGTATCCTGTGTCTCTGTTGAGAGTTCTGGTACATTCTCTTGTTCTTTTGTGAGTGACCTTCCTTTTCTCTGTAGAGGATTCCCCCCCACCCCAGCTCTGAAAAGTTGTGACAATACATCTGGCATATGGTCCCTTTTGATGCATTCTATTACCTGTCTAGGGACTTACATGCTTAATTTCAGGGGAATTCTCTTGTACTGTCTCATGTAATATTTCTGAAATTTTTACTAAGTCATCTTGGAGATTTAGGGAGTTATATTTATTCTCATAGTCTCTGGTGTTTTGTTTGTTTGTTTATTTCTACATCCTGGACTATGTAATTTTTTTAAAATTCTATTACTGATACTCTTTTTTAAAAAATCACTTTTGATTCCTAATGAATCTTTCTGGTTCCCTGATGCTTTTTCAAAAACCTTTGTTTTGTATATACAGTATCATTTTTTCATTTCATTGAAGATTTTCTTTAAATCCCCTTTGGGTCTTTGAATTTGAATTCTAGTTTTGCTCTCTATTTTCCTACTCTTCTTTGTTCTAACTTCAAAAATGTCAAGGACATTGGAGTGATCAGTCACATTTAATCAGAGATATTAAGCTGACTACTCAGGGTTACGAATGGAACTCAGTGAGAGGGGGGCATTGCTTTGGGGTGGCTAAGTAGAGGGCACCCATTGTGCTATCTGTCTCACTGAGTCTCAAAGAAATATCCGGGGCCCATTATCTTCCAGAACATTTGCCCTGTGCAACTGCCTAACTCTCACCTATGCAAATATAGTCCCTTAAGTGGGTTCCTGGTCTACTTTATCCATCCATTAGCCACGCAGAAGCCATAATGACCTTTCAGAAATCCGATTTGTTCAGCTCATTTCCTTGCATCAAATTTTCCTTTGCATGTTTCCTGTTTCTTCTGTGATCAATGTGAAAATTCTTGGCAAGATGAATGAGCTATATGGCCTCTCCTGATCAGTCCTGTCTCTGTGTCCCCCCCTCCTCCCCTGCCCTCTCTCTATCATGACACTGGGCTCCTACCCCTGTCGGTTTCCCACTCTCAGTTCTTCACCTTTGCTGTTTCTTCGCTACAGAATTATTTTCTCCCTTTCCTCATCTACTCATGCTTCGTATCTGAGTCGTAATCTCATCTGCCATTAGCCTTCAAGAAAGGTTCAGTAACCAAGGCATGAATGCTAAGCTTGATCTCTGAGCAGACTTAGATCATCCTAGGAAGATGATCTTACAAACTTACAAACTATTTAGTTGTTATAAATTCAGAATGCCAGAACTGGGATTTTTTGTTGTTGTTGACTATCAAACTCTTGAGCTTTGGGTCTGCACCTAAACCAAGAAAGCTGTGACCCACACACTAGTGACTCAACTCATTCTTGTTGCGTTGGAATTAACTCATTGCTGACCCTCCATCAGGTTTTCAGGAGGCTGTGGATCGCACAGGAGAAGAACACTCATCTTTCTCTTGGAGAGCCTCTGGTTAGCAGCACGCAGCTGTTATCCAAAAGTTAGCTGTTCGAGCCCACCAACAGCTTCATGGGAGAAAGGAGTGAGTCTGCTTCTGTAAAGACTTTGACCTTGGACACTCTATGGGGCCATTTTTTTCTATGCTTTAGAGAACTGTTGTGAGTAGAAATTAGCGGGGGGGGGGGGAAACGGAGTAGGGTTTTCAAGCTCTTCCAACAGACTTCAGTTTTAAGGGAAGGTGCTGCTTTACTCATAACATTTTGGGACCTGGAGCAGATGTTGGCACATTGTAAGTTCCTGCTTACTGCTTGTTATTGAGGAATGAATGTGTTCTATTTCAAGTGTTCCCTAGCATATTACCGTAACCTGCCTCTTTATTGACCTGAACACCAACAACAGAGGTGTTTTACTTTGGAGACGGATGGAGAGTAAACACTTCTTACTTGCTATTCCACAAGCCGCACAATCTGTCTTCAGAAGAGGAATCTTTCTTTTCAAAGCACTCACCTGAGGAGGAAAAGGCATACATTCACATTTAAAAAGCTCTCCAAGGAAAGACGAAGAGCAAATATGTCATATTATGCATGACAACAGTGGTTCTGGGTTTCCTGAAATGATCCAGGTAGTTGTCCATAGGGAAACGGAGTCTTAACTAATGCTCAGGAAGGAGCAAGAGACTAGAGGCTGGATGAGAAGAAGGGAGATCCAGAGGGAAGAGGCCAGGCCATCGTATCATGACGACATGACCATCACCCCGTCCTGCTCCCATCTACGCTCCGGAGCTGAGGGGCACAGATGCACGTCACAGGAAGCTCCTAAGCCAAGACACACATAAACCATGAGCAGTCACAGGAGATTTTTGAACACACATAGACTTGACCTCAGTGTGGAGGGGGCAGGCCACTGAAAACTGGGATATCCTACGAGACAAAATACTTAATGAGGAGTGACTGGGAAGTTGCTGGTTCCTGTTGGCTAATTTCTGGTGTTCTGAAAACTTTTGCAAAATATACCAAAAAGGCAACCAAAGCTATAGATGGGAAAGGATGAGAATTGGCTCTCCCGTTAAACTTGTGACTGTGGGTTTTATCTTTTCCATAGAAGCCGCACAATGAAGTAACTAATACATGCATCTACTGACATGAGGACCCTGGATTAATGAAGTCACGCTTTGCTCCTGAGAGACTCTATTCTGTAGAACTGCACAGTGTAGGAAGTTGTTGTTGTTGCTGTAAAGTGCTGTCAAGTCATAGGTGACTCATAGCGACCCTATGAACAAAAGTCCTGGACACCTGTATAACTTTTGTCCTTTCTCCAGGTTCATAGGGTTTCCATAGGCAAGCTATTACAGAAGTGGATACCTCTCCTGCTTCTAAGGTTTGTTTTAACCAGGGAGCTCCACCAAACACTGTCCACCATGGGTAACCATTCTCGCATTTGACTCGTCAGTGTCACAGTGTTTGGCTTCACAGCAACCACAAGTTACCTCTGTACAGCAAGAGGACAGACCAGGGTTACACAACTTAGAAGAATGTTTCACCTGAAACAATTAAAGGCAGACCAGAGGGAGAGCAGTTGGCCTAGCAGACAGAAAGTTATGCTCCCAAGCCAAAGGTGGGTGACTACTAGTGTAGGAAGTAGGGCAAGTAATAGTTAACTATATGCAATGAGAGACCAGGGACTGAAAAGGAAGTCTTTACCTTTATAGTCACTAATATTCGCCGTCACGCAGCTCTTCCTGACACATTTGTGGTTCAGACTTCCCATGAAGAACTGCTGACCCACCAAGGCAAAGATGCTCAGGCAAAAGAGGGTCAAGACCATCACATCAACGAGCTTCTTTACCGAGCGGAGCAAGGCCCCAACGATGACCTTTAGACCTGAAGACCACCGCCGCCGTCAGACAAGGGAAAAGAGACAAGGAGAGAACAATGAGACAACTGTGTGAACGTGTAGACATTGAAGACCAGCCTGACCTAAAATTCTACACCACAGCTTTCTGTTCCAACTCTATGCCTGAGAAGCTGTATGTCATCAAAAAAAGATCAACAACTCTGAGTCTTGGTTTTCTCTTCCTTTTTTTATGCCTGGAATAGGGATGCTCTGAGGAGCAACTGAGAAACTTGTAATCTGCATTTATGGAGATGCTCTGGTGACAGTGGTGAAGGTAGCCCCATAGCTGAGATCTCATTCTGTATTAAAGACCTGAAGGGAACGGAGCTCTGGTGGCCTGGTGGCAAGATGTCATGCTGCAATTCCGAAGGTGTGCAGTTTGAATCCACCAGATGCTCCGCTGGAGAAGAGGGGCAATCTCCTCCTGTGCCAGTCAGATTCAATTCGACGGTACACAACCACAACAAAAACTGAAGTGACACTAGATAACAAACTCAAAACTATTGCTGTCCTAAGTGCCCATCAACAAACGAATGGCTAGAGAAGCTGT